GTGTGAGAAAACGTTTTCCAAGATGAAGTACACAAAGAATGTTTACAGATCTCAATTAACCGATGAGCATCTTAAATCTCTTTTGATAATTGGTACAAGTAAAATTGATCCACAACTACAAAGTATTGTCGGTGGAAAATCACAATTACATAAATCTCATTAGTGTTTTTGTTTTACTATGATTTATTTCAATTATTTGTTAGTTATTAATAAGCTTGAACTTAGATACTTAAGTTAACTTTCCTTTGTCATCATTTCTGTAGTTAAGTTTTGCCTTGCAAGTAAATAAAACCGAGTAACTATCATTCTGTGTTTTCTTCTTCAACTTATCACAGCAATAGTAACAACAATTAGGTAATCATTGGCTGTCGCGGGCCGTAGTTTGGAGACCCCTGCTCTAGTGAAACTAGAGCCACTTGCTCTCATGAATGGATTTGAACGAAATTATACAAAGAAACAAACAATCTTTCCACTTTATGATTTCAAATGAAACAAACTATATGCCGTAGGTAACCCAAACTTGCCTAGAAAAAATACAGTTAATGCAACATAAAGGTCTACCAAAAAGTATGTTTTCGCTAAAAATTCAACGATTTTTGAAGTCTACACATCGAACGTATTACTCAATAAAAGCAATATTAACTTCTATTGTTAATCAAGTGAAGTATCAGATCGATCATGGGTCTCAAATCTTATTACTCCAGCGTAAAATTGACCAGAAACAATTCAAAAATTTACTGATAGTCTTATCAGATAGCTCAATATTTGAGCTGAGTTTTATAGTGAAACAATTTATAATTTCCTACACATGTCAACTGTTCTTGAAAGAGCACTTATATCAGGTAGTTCCTTAATTATAGTGTCAACAATATATTTTTTTCAGTGTTGAAGTTTTCCAGCTGAAAGTGAAATAGATGTTTGTGGGTAATGAATTCGAGTAACTTGAAGTGTCAGAAGACGTAAACTATATGTTTCAAAAGTTTTGTCCGTGTTTATGTCAGGTGTTTTTGTAGTTTCATATCTAAATCAATATTCATTCTTCTGTGGCGTCTTGTATACTGATCGATAGAGAATTTTGTACTCTGTACATTGATGCTATTGTAGAAATTTCATCAATCAGGACCAAGCAAAAACGGCCTTCGTCGACTTTATCAAATCCTAAGCAAACAGTTTTTATGCTGACGGAATCAATCGACTTGTGCTATGTTGGAAAAATTCCACTGATTCAAATGGCGCCTATTTCGATTAAGTTGAATAAATATTCACTTAGATATCACAATCTGCAGAAGACTCATAACAACCGACAAAACTTTCGAAACACTTTAATGAAATGTGTCAATGAAAAAATCACAGTCTTTCAATATATTCTCAATATGGTTAGGTTAGGTAAGGTATAAAGTGAGTGGGTCTATTCGACCCTCATCGCATCCCGCAAGGGTTTATTGTGGATCACACCTATTCACACTCGACCAAATAAACCCAGCTCTTAACGAAGCTGATTAGTTTGTATGGTGAGTGGTCTTTCAGGTCAGATGGTAAGAAAGAGTACGGCTCTGCCGAACTCTCAAAACCTGATTCGATCTCCAGCGGGGCAGGCTCAAAGTATATGCTTTGCTGTTTCATCATTTTCCAGAGGCTGGAAAATGATGAAACACTGTCTTTCGGCAGTCCGAGTCTCTGCATGTGATGATTCAAATGATAGTGACCTGTAAGAAGGCCTGTTAGACATCGTAGTTCATCCCTATTGTAGTTCAACATCTGTTTGATATCAAGCTTCGAAGGGTGAATAAATGCCTTGGAGTGAGCCAATCCTGGAAGATTCTGCCGGAAGTCCATAAATCTTCTTGCCATCCAGTTGTTCAATGTTTGTTTGGCAAAGCCTAAATTGATGCCAATGACAGGTTTTGGTCTGATGAAGCTGCTTGCAGCATCCTCCTTTGCAAGAGAGTCAGCAGCTTCATTGCCTTCCAGGCCAGTATACCAGTATACCAGAGACAATCTGTTGAGTCTTCTTATCGAGTAGAGTCGTTTTTGGCAATGTGCTACCAATTTAGACGTTGCTCGATAGGAGCTAAGAACTTCCAATGCCGCTTGACCTGCACAAGTACCGGAAGGTGTTCTTGATCCATCTGCGAACCAACAACTATCTACTCCTAATATTTCCTTCTCCCGGAGGATCCAGTCCTCTCTACTCGGGAATAGTACTTTATAAGGTAGTTCGTAGTTGACAGTTGGAGTTATAAAATAAGAGGTCATTTCCAGAATGCTGTGACTCTCAGTGTCAACCAACAGTCTGTTGCACTCTGCATTAAATTGATTTGTGCAATTGGCAATGTGCACAAGTCTGTATGCAGCCCATCTAGGCTCTCTCTCCAGAAAATTTTTGAGAGGAGGTAGTTCCAGAAGGATCTCCATGGCCGCTGACGGTGTGGTACTTATGGCACCACTGATAGTCAGACAAGCCTGTCTCTGTAAGCCAGAGAGCTACGCTCTCTGTACTGTATCCTAGTACCAATTCTCACAAAATTATTCATATTTACTGTAGCAACGGATTATATATCTTTCATTGAACCCTGCTAGGGTTGTTTTCCACTTTTCCGTACTCAAGCATCATGAAAGTCACTCACTACTGTGAGGTGCTGAACTAATGAATAATTTCATTTTCTACGTAATCATGAATGCAAATGAAAAATCCTGAAACAAGTAAATTTTTGTATATAAAAATACAATTTCTCAATGAAATTATTCAACTGCCTCTTCAACCCCCTAGGAGTAATAGCTGCCCCTGAAAAAATTCAAAATGAAAATAAAGTTGCGTGTGATACCGCGTTTAAATTTTTTTTGAAATCTGCCAATAAAGCTATTTCATTTCATATGAACAAACAGTTCTCTAGTCAAATACCTGTCCCGATTGACTTGTCTATTAGTTATCAAAAAAGTTACATCAGTAACTAATAGACTAGTCAATCGCGACAGGTATTTGATTCGAAGGCTATTTGTATGATATTAAATTCCTTTTTTTGAGAATCCAAGTTCACAAATCAAGAGGTGTTTCAAGAGTTGGGTATTGAATTGCCTTACCGAAATCATCTCTGGATGAACCAAAATTGATAATTGATGTACAAATACTCTACTGAAATTGTAGTAATTTAGTTTAAGAATGAAGTTTGATTTGAGTCTTAATTTGGGTTGATCGAGTCTTTTTTTAACTTTTCAGGTAGTGTAGTCAGCAATAGCCAAAATATCTGTGATGCTTCGGCCGCCATTAGACTAAGTACAAAATTATCCAAACATAAACTTTCCAAAGACGACTCAGAGAGTCAAGACGATGATCATAATTTTTCAGACCTTCTCAACCTCTCGGTTTGTATGCCTAGCAACTCAACGCATCTTGAAAACCCCAAACGAGCTTCAACGCATATGCAGGAGCTTCAGTATAGCGTAACAAACAGTATAGGATCTGACATAAGCAGCCTAGCCAACCTAGGCTCTCCTGGTTCGCCACCGAGGGCAACGAGCCCCACGGTTGAGATGAAAGAGTTGCTCGATAAGATTCAGCAACTGCCACAGCAAAAAAGCCCTGTGCAAGTACCGGAATCGGGCCATAAGGTGTGCAAGAATTATTTTCACAAGGTTCGAGCGAAGACTTTGTACATGCCTCTGTGCGATGAAAGTGCAGCCAAAGCGAAAAAAAGTTCCAGTGGTGAGTTTAACAATGGTTCATATCTGCTGAGTAGTGTCAATTACTTCAGTGGGTGATTTCCGATTACTTACAATTATTTCATTGATTAAGTTAGTACAAATAGCAACTAAAGATTCCAAAGCACATATATTAGCAATTATATTGAAGGTGACTCCACAATAAATAGATGTTTTTTTGCAAAAATTCAGAATAATTATGTATGAAAACTATTACTTGATTTTCACCCCTATTGAAGTATTCCATAATCCTGGTCTATATATTCAACTTTTCCAGAGAAGTTGACTATATAGATCCTCTGATTGCTGATCTTTCATTACAGGATTCGTATTACTGCAATATCTGTAATTATGTAGGTTGATGTAACCATTGATGAAGTGAGAAATAAAATTCAACAGAAGAGCATGAAAAATACAGAAAGTTTGAATTATAATAATAATAAATTTTCTTATTTTTTTTCTTGTCGGAGCTAGCTTACGCTATTTTACCATCCAACCAATTCTTCATTTGGATTCCTTCCCTCATCTTATAAGTTTGTATACTTACGGCTCTTGTACGGCATGTATCTCATAGGAATAGAACCGATGCTGTTTTAGGATATTCTGAACACTACGACATTTTATCCTATTACCNCTGTAGCAGTGGGCTACCAATCACCTGCTTCTGTGACTCCTAGCCACAATCTCTCTCTATTTGGTTCTGAGGCCTAAACCTCGCTGTAGCAGTGGGCTACCAATCATCTGCTTCTGTGACTCCTAGCCACAATCTCTCTCTATTTGGTTCTGAGGCCTATACCTCGCTGTAGTAGTGGGCGCTACCAATAATCTGCTTCTGTGACTCCTATCCACAATCTCTCTCTTTGGTTCTGAGGCCTATACCTCGCTGTAGCAGTGGGCTACCAATCATCTGTTTCTGTGACTCCTAGCCACAATCTCTCTCTATTTGGTTTTGAGGCCTATACCTCGCTGTAGCAGTGGGCTACCAATCATCTGCTTCTGTGACTCTTAGTCACAATCTCTCTCTATTTGGCTCTGACGCCTATACCTTGCTGAAGCAATGGGCTACCAATCATCTGCTTCTATGGCTTCTAGCCACAATATCATTCCATTTGGCTCTGAGACATATACCTCGCTGTAGCAGTGGGCTACCAATCACCTGCTTCTGTGACTCCTAGCCACAATCTCTCTCTATTTGGTTCTGAGACATATACCTCGCTGTAGCAGTGGGCTACCAATCTGATTATCTGAAACATATCTACAACAAAAATATATTATAGGTGTTTTGATGAGCAGAAAAAAAATGGTAGCAATAATAACATCCGAAACGAATACTATAATTATAATGAAAATTGAAATGAAGTAAGTAATTTATATACACAAAAAATTAATTGTGCAATAAATGTTCGAATGGAGTCCTTCCATTTCGAGACAAATAATGGGACAATAAGGTGGTCTGTAAGATCACCAGATAGTGTTCGTTTCGGATGTTATTATTACTATCATTTCTTTTTCTGCTTATCAAAACACATATAATATATTTTTGATGTAGACATGTTTCAAATGATCATAAAAGGTTTTCTTATTCGAAGTTTATTGTAGAGAACGCTCAGAGCAATGGAAAAAATATGAATAAGTCAACCAATTTCTAGGGCCGTAATTTAAAAGGAAATAATTCACACAATTATAATCGAATAATACCGAAAGATCCCGAAATATAAAATTGAATTTAATTTCTCAGTATGAAGTGAACGTCTACGATCGAAAAACTATAACAAATGCTTTGCCGTANTGGTAATCCTGTATCATATCGCGTCTTGCGTTCATAAGGTTTGTTCTTGACAATTTTACATACAGTTGAGAAAAAAAATTATGTCAAATCTGATGTTGCTTGTAATAGTTTGTTTCCCTCGAAACCAAACTTGAGATGTATATTCTTATATATACATTGAAATATACTTTTTGTGTTTTAATATTCAAATGCATCCGAATCTTATTCACTGATATCTCTTTTGGCATTGTTCACCATCGCTATTGGACTCACTAACACTGGAAAAAGCCAGCCAATCATAAAACTCGGTTAGTAAAAATTATCCAATACGAACCGCCAATTCTTCAGTCCACGTGGACTAGTTTGCAGCCGGTTCATTTCTATGTGTTGGTTTTTTTACCTTTGAGAGTACCGCCAACTTTAGGAGTGCACAATATCGTGTACTCCGACTATACTGTAAACTTATAATAAGACTGATTTCAGTTGGCAGCTGGTTGTCGGTCGAACGATTTGAAGTTCAAAGTTTTCAGATGAAACTTCTAATATGATTCAAGTATTTCAAGAAAACCATTATTAATGATTTAAAATATGAAAAATAATTTTCTTTGATGTTTTCCAGTTTTCTCAAAGAATTGGATGTCTCGCTCAGCTCCATGCACACCTTGCGGTAATTTTGTGCCTAATTTCCCAAACAACCACAGAGGAAGTCAAAGAGGAAGTAAAACGAAAATTACCGATGGCAGCCCTTTATTGAAGGAGCAAGCAGAAGAATCTGATAATGAAGAATGCAGGGAAGGAAGCTCATGATTGGCATTACCTTTTGGAAAGAAACATCCGAATTATTCTAAAATTATTTGGTTAGGTAACCTTCAGAAGAAAAACTGATAGTTGTTAAACTCTCAAGTAAGACTATTTCCAATGGTTTAGATTTTGCAAATACTGTAAGAGATGTTACTGTGATATGAAATACTATCTCTCTTACACAGTTTTGCTTGCACAATTATTGATCAGAAGTTTCCAACAATCAAAACTGTAACGGGTTCACTTGTTCAATTTTCAAAGCATTTTTACACTACATCTCTGACAATAAAATTGGAATAGTCTTTTGAAAATAGTCGAATTCTGTAATGGATCAACCAAAAGATGGGTGGTGACAATTGATGGACTTTGCTAGATTGATGTAAATTTAAGTCCTTGTTTCGTATCTGAAATTGCTTCAAGTAAATCAGAGTGGTTCAAATCAAAACAATTTTGAACTGTCGATTGCACGTATTCCACATATACTAAAGGAGCATACAAGACTAGCTGTAAATCAAATTATCTAAAAGAAGAATTCGTTTAGGCCAGGAAGCCTGGTTACCTCGATTACGGGCAGATGGGGCGATGACAAATATGTTGTTGGTCGCTCGCTTCAGCCTCGTTTGAAGAATGATACTCTGAGAGGAATTCGATTTTAAATAATGGGAAACCATCGACTCCATGTTTATGTTGGACACTACCTTGCACTGACGGGAGGCCAAATAGGCCGGAACCGGTCTGCAAGTGTACCCGTTCCAATAATTAAAAATCGATTCTGGCAGTTGTATCGCCAACTGCATTTGCGGGAATCACTTATGTCAAGAATCCTGCACTGACACCTGTCGGATATAATCCAACTCCTTTCGTGGTATTAGCCAGGGGTATAGTTGTTTCCTGATAGGTGTCAGTCCATTAACTTGTAGTGTAGGTGAGTTGTTGTTTTAGATAATTTGATCGCAAGTATATTTTCCATTTTCATTAACAAAATGATTCCATCATTACTTGCATCTTAACTGTCCATCGATTAATCTCTTTCGAAAACCCACTTCGTTTCGAATAATCTCGAATTATTTTTCCAAAAATTTTTAAAACGCCACTTGCATACGTTTTAAAACCGTATTATGTTTCAAGAATGATATTTCTGTAGATATCAACAATTTTTTGATATCTTTGATGTTTCTTGATGATATATAATTAATGGAACGAAGGATAAATATTACTATTTTTATAAAAAATAACCATTTTTACGAAAGTAGTAGTTATATACTACGTTTGTAAAAATTGGTTGTATTCACTTGTTGAAATTATATTGAATGTTAGTTGTATTTTGTCAGATTTGTATTCGTCAAGCATACTCAATTTGCGGGGTAGATGTGTATTGGAATTCAGTAGAGGAAAGGGTAGTTTTTTGTCGAGGAAAGTAATGGGAGTACTGAAGAACTAGTTTGGAATAAAATCGAGTGATGAAATAACTTTTGATACAAATGTGAAATCATTTTATACATGGTTTCGAAGTAATACTTCTCGGGTGTTTAAAGAACAACTTTAACTTTTCTTGGCTATTCGAAGTTCTCCAACATACGGAAATAACATCTTCAGATATACTTCTATTGATTGATTTAAGAGGTCAGTATACTTCGAAAATTTCAGAGAAATTTGCAATGATCATGAAATTAATTTTTTGAAGAACGAGAGAAATAATCTAGACACCAGGACTATGCGAAAATAATTATTATGTTTGTGAATTCATATGAAATATATTTTCCAATAGAAACAGTCAGCCTATATCGGTGTAAGTTCTACAGAGAGAGAGAAAGAGAGAGCTGAATTGCCTTGTTTATCCAATGAACTAACAAATTATAATCCTATCTTTGAAGATGAATGAAACTTCTGCATAATACTTTGAAATTCTGATCGGACAATAACTACTCACTGTCCTGAATGCTCGTTATCATAGCTGAGGCATTGGTTTTCATTCTTTATGGTCTGAACTTAATAAATATCAGAAAGTAGACAGGGGCGAATTCCACATTATTTTGAAAGACATTTCGTGTTGACGATTATTAGAACTTTGTTTGCATCTTCTCAAGCAATTTTAGCTTTATCTCGATCTGGGTCTTCGGAAACTTTGAAACCAATAAGTAAACCTGATATAAGTTACTTTCAGATACAAAATAGAAGAAAAAGCCCTCTCGGAACATTGTATTATATAAAAATGATTTTCTCCTATTCAGTTTGTAGTTATAGAATTGAATCAGATATCATTCATAGGAAACCCACACAATATAGTGTATAAAAGAGTTACGATATAAAATTTCACGTTCATGGAACTCTGTCATTATCAATGACATTTCAATGGCAGTAGATTGGTATTACATCAACTCTCTATCTCTTCTGAATTAGATAATATCAAATTATATAACTCAGTTGAGTTTTTTCTGTTTTATCATCCGCAAGAAGAGTAAAACTAGCAGATACTCGTATATAATTCATAGTGGTACATATAACATATGTTTTCCGGCCTGAAACCCAAATTGACCTTCGCTATTCATACTCAAGATAACATGGATAATCAAGATCAATGTCAATGCTGACTTCTGCTGAATCGACATTCGGCAATACGCAGTTCTCCAAAAGGCATTTAGCATTTAGGCAAAAAAATATTTTTACAAACTACATGAGAAATTGACTCTGGGGTATTATTAGGAAATAGCTGCGTTTCGTGGTTATAGCTCCTTCAACAATACAGTAGTATAGAATAGTTTCGAATAATATACTATGCTAAAATCAATCGAGTATATTTCCTACAGATCGGTTTCGAGGTATTACCCCCCGTCAGTGCAGGAAAGATTCTACCCAGACAGCAAAGTGTCTGGGACTCGATTGATCACGGCTCCGCTACATATATGAATGTTTCAAATATGTAGCGGAGCTACAAAGTATGAAAGACTGGCGAAACTAGCCCATGCGAGGAATCTTGCATAAATGCCTGTCGGATAAAATTCAATATCCAACGTGGTATTAGCCGGGGAAGTAGTTGTTTTCCGACAGACGTTCACCAGACCCTACTGTGTAGGTAGTCGGGAGAGATTAATATTTCGAAATGTATTTTGAAATTGCACAGAAATCACTATAATATTCACCAAACAACAGTGATGACTGCCTTTGACAGCGAGTAAAATTATGCACTTTGTGTGTTTGGTGTCTTTTGTTACTTTATTAACGAGTGATCATCGTGTATTTTAAATATCGAATCAAAAATTAAATTCCTCAAATATGAAAAAAAATGTGTTTTAATATTTATAATACAGGAACCATTGTTTCGCTAACTGATTATTTCCTTATTTGAATGTAGTCGGCATCTCTATGGTTACATACTGAATGAGCTTCCAGAGTAACACAATTTTTGTGGAGAAGCCAACATTTTCTGCAGTTTTTTAGGTATTTGACCTTCTATAATCTGGAAAATAAATAAAGCTTGATCAGAAGGGATTATACTGAAGTATTCACCAAAAAAAGTTATAATTCTTATTCTTCGCAAAGATGCACTTTATTCTAAATCATAGTGGGGTTGATTATTATCAAAAAAGTTCATTCTAAATTGAAAAATGTTTTATTCTCAACTAGTTCATCAGTCAAGTGTGGTATATGCCTGTAACGAGTTACAGATATTTTCATTAAACTAATTCCGCTTTATAGGCATGTAAAAGTGGTTTTTTCATTGAGTAAAGAGCTAAATAACTAGGTACAAAATTATTGATGAATCATTATTTGTTTTATAAGTATTTGATCAGAGGATATGATGAACTTGAAGGATAACACAGAGCAACATATTGTAGCAGGGGAGCCCACGATGCAAAATGGGGATTTACTCGAGCGTCATTGAGACATATTAGGTTGCAAAGCTTAGGAAATATATACCTTTTCATCGGTGGGGAAAGCGGCTATAGATTTTTTAATATGTAAAAAAATACTNCGCTTCTTCCAGTTGTTTTAGTTATTTATATATGGGGCTCATATTTGGTGGAGGTACTTAACCGGGTACAAGGTATCCCCCTGTATATCAATCTGCCGCGCTTTAGTAAATCCCGAAATCCCGCTTGGGCTACCCTATTATTGATGTTGAAGAATTTAGACCAGAATCCTAATGAATTAAATATACTGAATCTATAAATGCCCTATCAGCTAACATTTCAGAAATACTTATGCTACGTAGCTCTCAAAAGGGGTAGGTAGGTATTAACATTAAAATATAACAGAAATCGATTTAGTAGTTTTATCAAAAATGTTTACTGGTTTGAATTCGAAATAATAGTAAATTACAGTACATGGGTATTTTTACATAGGAAGGATTGTAGACAGGCGTCATGAGGGACCTTTGAAGCTGAAGCTTCGTGTACTCGATTTTCGGGTATGAGACTCGTAGGTTCCAAAAGTAATCAGCTATACAATGGATATCTCACCTTCTCTGATATCGCTTCTCCAAGAAATTCAATGTTCTAGTGAAACTAGTCACCATGTTCTTCTCTTACATCACCCATAATGTTGAGAAAGAGGCCTGCCTAGTTGGCCACAGGTTACCTGACAGGTTCGAGACAGCGTCTCCTGATTAGTGAGTGTAGTATAGTACCTTGCAGCTGAATGAAATGCTTCACAGGCCATCTACTCCCCAAACTATCCAAAATAATGGTAAATTATACAGATGTCGACAGGTTACCTGAGAGGTTCAAGACAGCGTCTCCTACTTCCCAAGCTACCCAAAATGATAGTAAATTATACTTCATGAGTATTCTCATGTACGAATAATTGAAAAAGGCAAGTCATGAGGGGACTTTCGAGGTTTCAATAGTTCTCAGCCTGAACCTGGGAGGTTCAGGACAGGGTATCCTTGTTCGTGAGTGTAGTATCCTGCAGCTATATGAAATGCTTCGCAGGAAACCTACTTCTCGAGTAAATTGTACTTCATGAGGATTCTCATGTATGGAGAATTGAAGAATGTCAAGTCATGGGGGGACTTTGAGGTTCCAACAGTAATCAGCCATCATATAGATGTCCCAGCTTCTCTGTTACCGTTTCTCCATAGTTTTGATGTAGGTATTGGTTGAACCTTCTACCCTGTTCTTTACTAATACCATCCATATGGTCAGGAAAGTGTTTTCACTAAGAAAATGATGCAACTCATATTGTAAGATTTTTGAAATCGTAAGCATGTTGTTCACTGGCTCTTGATAGTTGTCAGGCTTTCTTGTTACTTGAGAAATCTCAAACAAATGAATCTGTCTGTTTTAAATCTGTTTTTCTATTAATCAGCTGT